CCTGAAGAATGGACCGCGGCCGGCCGGCTTGAGGCTGGCCGCCGCCAGCGCCGGCGGCGTCGCTGCAGCCGCCGTAGTGCGGCCGTTGGGCACGGCGCTCACTGCCGGCGCGCGCTGGAGCCCGCCGGCCTGCTCCATCCAGCCAAGCCGCTGATCAAAACACGCCACAGAGAATGCGTGCCAACCAAGCACCCAACATTGTCATGCGTGTGCCGCATCGCCGCCCCTCGAGGGCGCGCCCCCGGCGCCGTTGCCAGCACTCACGCTGTCTTGAGGCCCGCCTCTGACAGGCCCACTGCCGCCCGCAGCCCCGCGCCGCCCGCGCCGACCACGATCGCGTCGTATTGGTGGTCGATCATGGGGTACGATTTGGTGGCGGCGTTGGCCGCGGAAGCCGACGCGTAGCCTCGCCGCCGCTGCTGCTGGCGCTCTGAGCCTGTGGCCGCCGCGCCCTTGTTGGCGGCCGGCGCACCCATCAGCCCAGCCATGATGCGCTGGCTCGCAGGCAGCAGCGCGGCGGCGCCAGGGCCGCCGCAGGCCGATATAAGTAGCTTAGACAGCATCGTGCCCCGCTGCCTCGATTAGGGTCGCAGCAGCACCACCCTCAACCACGGGAGCGTCGCCACGCTGGCGGCGGAAAACAACCGCAACGGCAACCGGCGCGTGGTGCACATGGCGCAGGGCAAGGCGCGAAGAAGGGAATGTCAGGAAGTTGCAGGCGAACTACGATACTGCTGGACGCGGGGTGCTCGCAGATAGTGGGAAAGCATCAGAGGCCGGGACGCTGGCAAGGGTTGCTCAGCCGGACGAGCCGCTGTCGGATGTCCCAAAACATTCAGCATATACCATAAACTGCACCTATGCAAGCCCCAGAGGCGTACCGGTGGCCAGCGACAGATCTGTGATAATGATGATCTTTGCGGGAGTGTGTATGTAGGCGCATAAGGTCACCGATCGCGGTGAAGCCTGGCTGATGTGGAGCTACGACAAGTTCGCAACCAAGCTGTTTGCAGGTTTCGATGTTGGAAGCTGCAGGTGACTGGAAAGTATCCTGTGCGAGTAGAGACTGCAGCTTTCGTCCCGTTGTCGCATCACCATCATTACAGTTACCCAGCTCATTACACAACCCCGACCGAGACTTTTGCCGCGCGGGCCAACCTTGTCACGCTGAAGCCGTTCAAGTGCGCCACTCACGCACAACCCGTGCTGAGATGCAGCAGCTGCGTTACTTTCGCCCTCGGAGCTAGGAACCTGGCCGGTGCATGCGCTAGGAGCAGGTTCAGGCAGATCACTGCTCAGGTGAGCCCTGCAGGCAGCGGCTTGGGTTTGCTCTGGAGTGCCACGAGGAGTGCCACGAGGGTACTGGGGGTCGCTGCAACCTTGCACAGGCCAGGCGCGGGCTCTGGTCCTGCCCGATGGGGTGGCGCGATGCATGCGCGCGCGGCGGCCATGTGGGGCTGCTGCATGGGATGAGCACGACATGCCGCATGACGGCCTTGCCAGAGGATCGCGCGGGCGCTGCTCTTTCATATCTTGTAACTTCCAGCCCTTACTTGGTGGCCTGCTCAGCAACCGAGCAATCGAGTGTTCGTTAGGACAAACCCATTTGTTGCCTGCAACCCCGCCCAACCCCCCGCGGTGGCAACCCCTTCACTGCTTCCGCAGTGGGGCAGAGCTCCTGGGGCCATGGCGCGCTACTCCAAGGCCTTCAGGAGCCGGGAGGAACCCAGCATAGCGCGCACATACCCGGACATCAACGTGCACAGGTGCGGCAGCAGGGTCCAGCGCGGCGCCCAGCAGCCCGTGACCCCTGCGGCAGCGGCCGCGCCGCGCCGCTCTCGCGCTCACGCAGCGGCGGCCGCAGCCAGCCGCCGAGAGGCGCGCAGCCCCCGCC